GTTTAAATGTGAGACCTAAATTTTTCTCATCTCCCCTTAGAGGTGTGAAAAAGGGGGAAGTTGGGAAAATTTCAAGGTCCCATTTAAAATTGTTTTGTACAAATGAATGGAGGACCGTATCACCTCCAATACACTCTACCCTTTGCTTATCTTTTTAATTTTCCCTACGTGAGGTTAGAGTCAGTATTTTAATTTTTTAACTCTATACCATTTGTCATATAAAATGATTTAAAAATAATTTTAGTCAAACATTATAAACCAAAACACGGAGACAATCTTATACGGAGTATAACATTACTCAACATTTTTATGTAATGTATGTTTCTAACCATGGTTTGTTTTCAGGCGATTCCGACATTCTCAAGAGCATGCCGGGCGACCAGTAATTTTGTTAAGATCGTGCTTTCCGGTGATTGCTGTTTTTCCCCTCTAAACTGTGTCATTTTAATTTTAATTGTGGTTCTTCAATGCTAGTTGGTTGACATGTACCATCACACCATCCAGATTCTGGCAGTGTTTTGATGTTTGGTTGATGAATTTTGCTTCTGGGATGAAATGATGAACTGTGCCTTTCCTTTAATTATTTATCTTTATTTACATATGAGTAGCATTATGTGTCATAAACATGACTTTTATGAACTATTTTCATCATCCAAAAACTTGTCCTTACAAAACCCCCCCAAACAGGTACCTGAGTATTCTTTATGTGCTCTATTTGGCCAGTTTTATTCTGGTGCTCTTGTGTAGAAAATGTATTTTCTACAATACTAGCCTTAACATCTCTGCTAAAACCCTTCTTTAAGTTCGGACATGAGATGTTCGAAACCGGATGAAATGTCAAAAATTCATCACAAAAATAATTAATTATTGATTAGTTCGGACTCCGGTCGAAATGACTAACGAAACTAATTTGAGAATGGCCTAAGACCGAGTTGAACTTGATTGAACCAGATTGGAGCGAAGACCGAACTAAACAAAATCATGTGTAATGAGTCATGACCGGACTTAAATCTATTTGCATTCGGATTGGAACATACCAAAATACTTTGAACCAATTGGACAGATAAAAAATTTTTTATATAAATAATTTTGATCTATTAATTATGTTTTAGGCTTTCGTGCAAATTATTTATATGATTTTCTTTGTAAAAAATAAATAAAATAAGTACCTTTTCAAAAAGAAAGTGAAATAGCCTTTTCATTTTTAATACTCCGCACAAAGTATTAAAAAACCCTAGGGGAAAAAATTTGCTTTATTTTTCTATTTTTTTTTTCATTTATTTTGCTTTGTACTATCTTTTTTCAGGAGTTTTTCTTATTTCATTTATTTTTTAATGTATAAAAAAAATTTCATACATTCTTTAAGATGAAATTTTTTAAAAATGTTCTAAAAGAAACAAAAAGAGAGACATTATAAATATAACCATGAAACATTATTGACAAAATAGAAGAAATATACAGAGTATTTCCTCCGTTCCAGAGTATTTGTTCACTTTAATTTTTACACACCATCCAATGCACTTCTTTAATCCATTTTATCTTGTAATTTGTATATTAAAAAATTATAAAAATTTAATATTAATAATCTATATGTTAAGACAAATCAAACAAGACCACGAATGACTATATTTATGCTTACACATTGAGAGAATTTGATGAGTCAAAGTGCTTAGATGAACAATTCCAAAAGTCAAAAGTGGACGAATATAGTGGGACGGAGGTAGTATTTATTAGCGCCTATAGATAAAGTATTGGATGAATGTTTCTACCCAGTCCTTATAATAAAATTTAAAAGTTTTTGAGTTCTTTCTAGAAATATTTCATTTAATTCTTTTCAAGTAATTTGATTGTATATGAACTCTTTTTTATTAAGGTCTATTTTTAATATGAACACTTTTATACTTCATATTTGTATTTTTTTGCACGGCATTTTTTTTTTGTTAATTTGGAAAAGTCCATACCACTTGGTATATATTATATACGAGTACAATTTGTACACAATAACTTTGTACTAGCATTTTGATAGTTTAGATTAGTTATTTTGTGATTGTATTAATATTTTGTGTAAATGTAAGCTATCAAAGTATTAATGTAAAGGTGTTATTTATAAAACGAAAATGTTCGAGTCGTAAACTTGCTTTTTGTGGATTTTAAATTAAAATATCTTTTAGGAAAAATTTACACCAATACTCCTAGAATTTGCACGGTTTCACATAAATATTCCAAGATTTTTAAAATGACACCAATGCTCCTAAAATTTTCATATAATCACATTGTTGCTCCCAGAATTGAATTTTGTTTACTTCTATGCTCCAAATGTTTTAAACTTCAGTATTTAGTTTCCCGAAGAACGTTCAGCTACCAAAGTTGTAATCTTTGTTTTAATGTTAGTAATTTTCAAATTTTCTAACTCTTTGAAAACTTTAATACTCCTCTCAAATGATGAAAAAGAGCTTCTGTAATATTCTCTGTAATTTGCTCTGTAGTTGAGTTCAAAACTTTAATAATGATGAAAAACAGCTTCTTTATTTCAATTTGGACTCAGAAAACATGTAGTCCAATCATGTGGTAGGATCAAATGTATTCCATAGTGATGGAAATGAATTTTGTTATGCCAAATGTAACTACTGGCAAAGAATTGATCGACTGAATTGGGATTGTTTTCTCTCTTTTTTACCTCAGGGATGTTGGTTATCATTTCCAACAACTGCCCACCCCTCTAGAAGTCGGAGATTGAGTATTATGCTATGTTGTCAAAAGTGGGTGTTCACCACTATCGTGGAAGTAAGATTTCGTAAATCTTCCCTTCAAGATTTCCATTCCAAGATTCTTATTACAACTCTTGTTTGATGGCTATGGGCTCTTAAGTCTCTGCCAAAGCTACGCGTGGAACCATTACTTGCCGTCAAGAAGTTTATTACTTAATTGTTTAAGTCTTTGCCAAAATTGATCAATCCATTTTTCAATCCAGCCAACAATGATTTGGGAACTGCATGTGGAAAATTCCACAAAGTGTGTTGCATGAGCATTATTGACCCTGGTGAGTTTCTGTTTTCTAACCAATGGTTTGTTTTCAGGTGATTCCGACATTCTCAAGAGCATGCCGGGTGACCAGTAATTTTGCTAAGATTGTGTTTTCCAGTCATTGTTTTTCCCCCCTCCAAACCGTGTCATTTTTATTTTAATCTTGGTTCTACAATGCTAGTTTGTTGACATGTACCATCACCCCATCCAAGCAGTGTTTTGATATTTGGTTGAAGAATTTTGTTTCTTGGATGAAATGAACTGTGTCTTTCCCTTTAAGTTCTTGAGTGTTTTGTACTCCATGAATGGATGTCCTCCGCAAGGATCTCATGCACGCCATAATGGATGTCCGCAAGGAGCTCCACGCCACGAAGTTACGCGTCGCCGAACTTTCTGCCCAGCCCCACCTGGACGCATGGCTCAACACTAGACAGCCGGTCACAAATTGGAGACCGCCGCCGTCCCGCACCTCAACATCAACACTAGAGGCAGTACCTCGTATGTGAGTGGACGCGCCGCGTTTATCGGAGATGATCCCATAGGTTGGGTCTTTCGCATTCAAAAGTATTTCGATTACTTCTGCACACCGAAACCTGAGAGACTTCAACTGGTGGCCATGCTCATCGATCATCTGGCGTCCGAATGGTTTCACTATTATCAGGCCAATAATTGTACAGCTACGTGAGACGATTTTCTGTTGGCCATTCAGCAACTTTTTGATTTGCATTATATTATTATGAGAACTACGTCGGGATGTTGTCCAAACTCACCCAAACCACGATGGTAATGGAATACCAGACCGCCTTCGAGGCCCTTCTCAACAAGGTGTCGGGGGTCCCGGACTCCACCTTAATTTCCATGTTTGTGGCAGGTTTGAAACAGCCGTTGCAACGGCCAACGGGAGGTTAACCTCCGCAGTCCCACCTCCCTACCCGCTGCCTTCGCCCTCCCTCGGGAACTCTCAGCTTGCCATTCTGAGGCAATTTTGGCCTATACCCGTGGGACACGCCGTGCATGGAATTCCCCATCTCCAGGTCCTACGCCAACATCCAGTCCCGGTCTTCTTCCTACTCCACGGCCAGCGCAGCCTAAGGCGAAAGCTCCCACTCCTCCGGGTTTACCCATCGTTCGTCTGACCGATGCAGTCAAGGCCGAACGTAACAAGAAAGGGTTATGCTGGTACTGTGACGAAAAGTATACCCCGACCCATAATTGCAGGCGCCGCTTTCTTCTCCTAATGGGGCCAGATGAGGATGAGTCAGAACCAGAACCCCCCCTGCGGTTGAACTGGACGACGATGCTCTGGTAATTCTCGGTGATATTTCTACTATGCACTTATTGGCCGGCAGCCCTAGCCCCCGGTCCCTCGAAGTTGCGGGCTCGGTCAATTCGGCGGTGGTCCAGGTATTGTTGGATAGCGGCAACACTCATAATTTTATGCAGCCGAGCGTCGCGGAACGTTTGGCTTTGGTTCATCATCCGGTTACTCCCTTTCGTGTTTATGTGGGCAATGGTGATTCCTTGCGCTGTTCATACTCTTGTCCCGGGACTCCTCTTTGGTTACAAGGACATCTATTTGATGTGGATTTATATTTATTGGAGATTCATGGGCTGGATATTGTGTTGGGTGTGCAGTTGCTTCAAACCTTAGGGAAGGTCTCCCACGATTACGCCACAATGACGATGGAATTTATTTGGAAAGGGGAAACAATCACGCTGCGTGATGACACGGCCGAACCTCGCCCTATCTCATATCGTCGGCTATGCTCTTTGGCACGGGATGCACTGTCCTGTGATTTGTATGAACTCACTCCAGCGCCCTCTGATGCACCGACGGCGGAAACTGGCGTAGCACTGCCGGCAGATTTGCCCCCCGGCTGTCCGCACACTCCTCGAGGCCCATGACAGGCTCTTCGGCCTCCCTTCAGGTCTGCCACCAGCCCGGGTATGGGACCATCACATACACTTATCCCCGGGGGCGAAACCCATCAATGTACAACCGTATCGGTACCCCTACTTTCAAAAGGCGGAAATCGAGAAACAGATTCAGGAGATGCTTACGCAAGGGACAATACGGCCGAGTCACAGCCCTTTTTCTTCACTGGTGCTTTTGGTACGGAAGAAAGATGGCACCTTTCGGTTTTGCATCGACTATCGGGCCTTGAATGCAGCCACTATTCCCGATCACTTTCCGATCCCGACCACAGATGAATTGTTCGACGAGTTGGGGCATGCACGTTTCTTCACCAAATTAGATCTCCGCTTGGGGTATCACCAAATTCAGATGCATGACGTGGACATTTTCAAAACAGCTTTTCGGACACATGAGGGCCATTACAAGTTTTTGGTCATGCCGTTCGGCTTGACGAATGCTCCGTCAACATTCCAGGCCGCGATGAATACCATCTTCTGCCCTCATTTGCAACAGTTTGTTATTGTCTTCTTCGACGACATACTGGTATATAGTCCGACTTTGGACTCTCACGTTGATCACCTTTTGGCAGTCCTCAACATCCTGCAACACGAATCCTTCTTCTTAAAACTCAGCAAGTGTACCTTCTGTCAGACCAAAGTCGGGTACTTTGACCACATCATGAATGCCGGGGAACTCCTGCCGGACATGGAGAAAATCCGTGCCATGGTCGCCTGGCCGACACCATCTAATCTCAAACAGCTCCGTGGATTTTTGGGCCTTACCGGGTACAATCGGCGTTTCATCGCAGGGTATGCTGCCATATCTGCTCCGCTGACCGAACTCCTGAAGAAAGACAGTTTTTGTCGGACCCCTACTGCCACAGATAGCTTCCAACAGCTCAAGACGGCCATGACCTCAGCCCCGGTGCTCCGGCTACCCAACTTTGCCCTTACTTTTTATATCGAGACGGATGCATCAGACACGGGCATGGGGGCTGTTTTAATGCAACAAGGGCATCCCTTGGCATTCTTTAGCCGCAAATTGGGCCCTTGCCGCCAGACCGCTTCCACCTATCACAAGGAATTATATGCAATCGTGGAGGTTGTCCAAAAATGGCGTCAATACTTACTTGGTCGGGAATTTGTCATCCGCAGTGACCAACGCAGCCTTAAAGAGCTCCTATCCCAGGTCATTCAGACCCTCGAACAGCAGTTTTACGCCCGGAAGTTGATGGGGGTATACCTTTCGGATTGAATACAAGAGTGGCTCGTCGAACAAGGCGGCGGATGCACTATCCAAACGCGACGAGAGTGAGGACGCTGCATGTGTTTTTGCGGCATACGCACGACCAATTCCATCCCTCTTGGTGGATCTCAAGCGTGAAAACGAAAGCAATCCCGAACTACAGGCCATCCACGCCACTGTCCACGCTGGGAAAGCCTCGCCCGTTCTCACAGTGCATGACGGGATCCTTTATTATTGACGGCGTTTGTACATCGGGGCTTCTTCTCCTCTTCGGGAACACTTGCTGCTGGAAAGCACGCCTCTTGCGGGTCACCAAGGGGTGGAACGCACCTTCTGGTGCCTAGCCGATGTCTTCTACTGGCGCAACATGCGGAGGGATGTACGTCAGTTTTTGGCCGCTTGCACGGTCTGCCAGGTCACTAAGTACTCCACAAAAAAGTCTGGGGGTCTACTCCTGTAACGACCCAAAAACCGGCTTAGTAGTTAGCCGTAATTTTAATAAAAATAAGTATAATATTTATTTACTCTAAAATATAGATTATTTGTAAAGTTATCCGTTTTAGATGAAAATTGGGTTTTTGGATAGATCTCAAAGAATGGTGACCAACGGTATATAGTTTGTTAAATTCAGACTTAAAGCGTGGTGAGTTAAATAGATGTTACAGTTCAATAAATAAATATAAAAATTTTATAATTAAAATAATAATATATGAACTCTCTCCACTCCTACTACGAATTGGAAAAGGAAAAAGAAACCCTCCCCTCCCCTATATAGTATACATACACGCACACCCGCCGCACAAAAGAAAGAAAAAGAAACAAGGAAAGAAAAAGAGAGACAGAGGAACGATATACGGAGCTAACCGCGAGGGGAGACCGGGAACGAAGCCGACGGAACAGAGCTGGACGCGGAGGAAGGAGACCGCCGCTAGGGAGCCGTTGCACCATCGGCCTCCGCCGCTTGCGTCACGGGAAAACAGCCGCCACCGTCTTCCAATTCGACTTCCTTGCCCGTTGAATTGTTTTGTTTAACTCATCAATTAATTGAGGTCAGAACTTGCACATCTAACGCTAGATTATGTATATAGATTTGAAATTCACGTTCGTAGTTTCGTATGATTGATTACATGGTTTATTTGTTTATAATTGAATTGTGATGTATTTATATCTTATGATAATATTGGAGTTGGTTGAACAAGGAAGGCCAGGTACGTGTTCTAACCTTGAAAATTATGTGGCTTGCATGATAAAAACCTTTAGAAACGTTATCTGAATTGAATGGTGTTGAGTAGAAGTGAATTACGCTGTTTCTGTAGCTTTCCGATGTCAGACGGTAGCTAGGTACCGCCACACGGCACCCTGCTACCGCCACAGACCCCTACGTTAATTTGGCTCTGTCGGTACCTGCGATCACACGGTAGGGTGGTACCGGCCAAACGGTACCAAGGTGCCAAACCTACGGTACCAAGGTACCGTGCCAGACCCAGATACCGCTCCAACCCCAGTTCTCCGCTGTCGGTAACGTAGTTAGACGGTCAGTGGTACCGGATCGTCGGTACCTAGGTACCGCCCGACGGTACCAGGGTACCGTGTCCACCCCCAGCTGCCCGATTCGCCGTTTGTTTGTTCTGATCTGAATCCCGAATTTATCCCATGATCTTGTATGTTGCATGACGGTAAGTGGAGGGTGTTTACACCCGAGACTAGGCCGCTAATTGTTGAATATGATTGCCTATTTAACTTGTTGTAGTCTCGTATGAATTTGGAAATATGAAATTATGAACTCGAATATAGATAGGCTACCTAAATGAATTATAGGTGGACCGAGAACATAGAATAAGGATACAGTTAGGGGTAACTGGTCATGTGATGAGCCGACGTGCACGCATGATAAGTTGGGTAGAGCGTGCGCACGGGGGTCGTAGATCTGCTCATGGATGTGAGTAGGTGGTCCCACCCAGCCGACGTTGGATGACGTCGTATCGAGCGGGTTCTTCCATGGATGTGGTTGAATGAGGACTCTAGAATAAAGTAGTTGGCCTTAGCCTAGGATAGATTATGAGCCTAGAGATTAAGAAGAGGAAATAAGGTAATGATTTGTGACTTGTGAATTTATTTGGTGACTGTTGTGTTCTATTATATTGTATACCTGTGTGCATGATATTGTATGGGATTATGAGCTGGTGGGTTCATCTATGTGCGTAGTCGAACGTTAGATAGATTCCACTCAGCTTCAATGCTGAGCGTGTAGCCCTTTTTCCTATTTGCTACACGTAGGTAACAGGAATGATGAATAAGGGACTATTCTGGAGGCAGCGAGGGCAAAGAGATGGATGGATGCTAGCTGGAGGAGTTATCTAATTTGATATTTAAGTTTGAATTATTATATTCTTAAGGGCAAGAACCCAAAGTTGTATTTTGATTAAGTACTTAAAAGCTTCCGCACCGTTTTGATTTACTCTGATGGATATTTAAATATTGTTTTGAATTAAATGTTTTAAATTGTTTTGAAAATTATTGCGTTTGAATGCCAATTTAGTAGCAACCCGATCCGCTGATCCTAGTATTCGGGTCACGCGGGCTGGGGTGTTACAACTCCAGCCGCTGCCCGTTCCAGACCGGGTTTGGGAATCCGCATCGATGGATTTTATTACGGGCTTACCCCCTTCGCACGGTTTCACAGTAATTATGGTGGTCGTTGATCGGTTGTCCAAATATGCACACTTTGGTGATCTAAGCTCCGGATATGACGCTCCTAAGGTTGCTCAGTTGTTTCTCGAAGTGGTCGTCAAACACCATGGTTATCCAGCCGACATCATTTCCGATTGCGACTCCGTTTTTATGAGCATATTTTGGAGGGAGTTAATGCGCTTGAGCGGGACGACATTGAAATTCAGCACGGCGTACCACCCCTAGACAGATGGGCAGACTGAGGTCACCAACCGTGGCTTGGGCAGTATCTCAGGGCCTTTACGCATGAACGCCAGCACCGTTGGTCACGGTTTCTCGCATGGGCAGAGCTAGCGCTGAATTGCTCCCATCACGACGCCATTGGAATGTCTCCGTTCCAGGCTTTATACGACCGTCCTCTGCCTTTCTTATTCCCCACTTTATCCATCCGTGCACGCACGCCAACAGTGGAGGACCTGCTACGGGATAGGGCAGCCATGCTTGATGAATTGAAGCTCCAATTGAGGAAAGTGCAGCAACGGATGCGGGACCAGGCGAAACAGCACCGTCGGGATATCTCATTTATCGTCGGGGACCTCGTGCTTCTCAAACTCCAGCCATACCGACAACACTCGGTGGCCCGACTGGCGTCCCTCAAACTAGCACGGTGGTATTACGGTCCTTTTGAGGTTATGGAGCGCATTGGGGAAGTGGCCTATCGCTTACAATTGCCGGAGGGGTGTCAAATTCACGATGTCTTTCACGTGTCCCTACTCATACCTTTTCGCCAGGACCGCAACAGTCCCTTCCAATGGAGTTCTTTGGTGCACGCCCAGTTTCTCGCCCAGCTGCAGTGTTGGGGCAACACACAGTCCTGGTGGATGGCACGCCGCAAGACCAGTGGCTTATTCGCTAGACAGATGGCTCGAATGGCGACGACACGTGGGAACCTGTGGGTGAAGCCGGTTCTTAACCCCGGGGGAACTGCAACGTCACTTCCTGGATCTTCGGCTTGAGGACAAGCCGGTTCTTAACCCCGGGGGAATTGATACGGGCACAAACCGTAGGGCGGACGACTAGGAGGCAGTAGCGACAAGACGTTCGAGGCGGAACGTGGGTCCGCCACGGAAATATCGCGATTATGTTTAAGTACTTTAATTTTAATATGTTTAAGTCTTTTTTAATTATCATTATGTATTTAGATTTTCTTTAGGTGGACGAATTATAAGTCCCTTCGAGGGTTTCTTTTCGGTTCTTTACCTCGATGCTTTTTCTTGAACCGACAGGATAGATAACTAGTTTAATTAGGTTTGGGGAACTTCTCTATTTAAGGAGGTGGTTTATTCTCCTTAATCATCATGATCATAATTCAAAAATACTTCTCCCCCACGTCTCTCTCTTTCTTCTCCCCTAAACCCTAGTGCTTCGGCACTCTCCTTCTTCCCCTTGCCGCCCGCGGCAGCCTCGCCAAGGTACACGTGAAAAATAGCGTGTATCAATATGTTGCACAAATTAGGGGACATTTGGGGTTTTGGTTGGAGCAATGCTAATTGCTAGGTTCACAAACAGAATGATCACAAACTTTACAAAATTGTTATTTATGATTTAAATTCTCATTTTAAAATCATTTTAGACTACTTTATTTTTTATTGAAGTTCACAAATAATAATTTTGTGAAGCATGTTATCGTTGTGTCTATGAACCAAACATTTCTCTTTTGGTTGGAAACCCCAATTACCAAATACTAATTATGTTGGATTTTATTTATTTTAAGTGTGAGAAAATTAAACAAATTAGCGAGGAGAAAGAAGAGAAGAAAATGTGATAGGTGTGGTCGTGAAAATAAACGAGATATGCAATGTTTGTGGTGTTGAAGAGAAGAAAAAGAGAGAAATTAAAGGGTCTCTTAATCTCTTTGAGAGAGGTCCAAGAGGATGTAGGAGAGTTGTAGTGAGGTGAGAATTTTCAGGATGTTGAGAAAAATTCTCAGAGTATCAACAATATCAATTGTTGTATTCTTGTGGTATTTTTTTCACGAGCTGAGAGGGATTTCCATGTAAAAATTATGTTCTCTATTTTTTGCACTTTAGTTTTCCTCCCATATCGCGTCCGTTGTATTTTGGTGATTTTTTCAACATCTTTTTCGGGTTAGTTGCCCAGGTTATGGAAGTGTATTTTTGGTCTTGATTTTTTGCTAGTTATGGGCATATTTACAGTATTTTGCTTTCACATTTGTTTTTTTGTTGCTAGACAACATTCAGCTGTCTTTCTTTCATTCTTCTGTTAATCAAATGTGTTAATTCACCATTTTCACTTACATGTATATGTGGGTGTGTGACCTCAGGTTTTAAGGGACCGATCAAATATTTTATGAGTGAATTTAGTTGTTTGGCGCTCCTCTGCAATGCAAAAAAAAAAAAAGGATTATATTTTTTTAGGAGGGATGGGTATGGAATGTTATTTTATTAACGGAAGGGTTCTGCTGCCATTGTAATTTAGTGGTGGCCACTATTAATCCTATCCATTCATCTCATCTAATTTATAATCCATTGGCTCATATACACCCATCATTAAATCAAAAGAGTATTACCTCCGTTTCCTTAATTTTCGTCCGTCTCTTTGACGCACAACGGCACAACGCCGGCTCCCTCAGTTCATCAGGCTCAGACGAAGATCCCTCGATCGCCGTCCTCGAAGAAGATCCCTCCCCAGTTCTTTCGTCCAGGTAAATATTCCTCCATTGCCGTCCTTTTTTTTAGTTCAAATTTTTCAATTTTATCCGAACCAAGCGTAAATTTTATCCACCCCACGCGAACCCTAGTTTTGATTTTGGTTTTCTTTGTGTGCAAATTTGTGTATAAGGTGTTCAATCTTGTTTTTCAAATAAGTTGAATAACTTGGAAACTTGAGTAAACTTGAGGAACTTGAATAAGGTGACCTGCGCATAGCCTCCAAATTGTGACCTGCGTATCCCAAATTTGCGTACAATATCACTTTTGAAATAGCTTTTGTTTGGGTTTGCTTTCCATACAGATTTCAAATGTATATACTCCCTCCGTCCGGAAATATTCTTCCCATTTTCTTTTTTGGTCCGTCCGGAAATAATCTTTCCATTTCCTTTTTTAGTATGCTTTTTAAGGCTAAATATCAATAATACCCTTCTATTTTATCACAAATCTACTTTTTTAATACTTTTTTAATAATAAAAGAAGATTTAAAAGTTTATTGTTTGTGCATTTTTGAAAATTTTGCATTTTTTTTACTATTCCTTAATAAGCGTGCCAAGTCAACACGGGAAGAAAATTTCCGGACGGAGGGAGTAACATTTTAGAGCAATGCTAGGGGTACACCAAAGGTGTACCCAAAATGTAAACCACCCCCTTCTCCACCACCCATTTTTATTTTATTTTTATTTATTTATTTTTTTTTTGAATTTCTTGAGTTTTTTTTGTGGACAAGGGGGGGTGGGGGACAAATGGGGTACACATTTGGTGTACCCCTAGCATTTTTCAACATTGAGCGGTTGGGTTTGGTGCAGTTTTGATAGATATTTGCCTTTGTTTTACACGCAGACTTAAACTGAATCTGATCTTTTATGAGTAATGCCTACAAAGCAGGTATGTAACCCTATATCATTAGTTTGAAGGATGGTAATTAAGTTCACATAGAAATATAACCTTTGTCGTTTGATATTTGTAGTAATTACTCTTTCAACTCAACGAGAAGGATATGTGATTATGGTGAATGGTTGGAGGTGCCCACGTGTAGGTGCGGGAAAGAGATGAAGATTCTTACTTCATGGACCAATAAGAATCCTGGAAGAAGAATGTGGAAGTGCGATGGAAATGTAGGCATTTTCTTTGTGGTATAGTGGTATACCATTGATTCTTTGTTGGTAATGTTTTTTGGTGTTGAATAGGGGGTACTCGCAAGTGCGGTTTATGTAATATGTATGTGAAAACCATGAGAGAACAAATATGTATGTGAAAACCATGTTTATGTAATATGAATGTGAAAACCATGTTTATGTAATAGTATTGTGATGATGTTATTGGTGAGTGATTTTTTTTATCATTATTGGAAGTTGTAGCCTCTTGAATTAATGCTAAATTATTGGTCAGTGATTTTTTCAGCATTATTGGAAGTGGTGATCACATGGGCAGAGGGGAAACGAAATTAGTGAGTAAAGATTAATCGCGAAGAGGCCTGCGTCAAAGAACTCAAAATTAATCGCGATGGTAAATGGGGGGAATCGCGATGGTGAAGAGGGCTGAGAATGGGAGAATCGAAGAGGTCTAGGACTCTGTGAGAAGCTGATGGTGAACCTCGACGTATAACAGAGGGGAGACGCCGTTATTTTGAGTAATAAGTGAGTAAAGATTGAGAGCCATTAGATTAAAGATTTGATGAGATGAATGGTTGGGATTAAAAGTGGCCACTAATGCCACTAAATTACAATGGCATCAGAACCGAGCCGTTATTAAATAACTGGGTTAGTAGCAAATAGAGCTCATATTTATTTTTCTTTATTACAAAGTACGAAGAAAGAGCATTTCAAAATGAGAGCTTGTTTTCACCTACTTTGTACCGATTATTTATTAAACCCAATTTAAGCGAAAACCTTAAAATAAGCTCTACCAACCATAACCTACCACTTTTAGCTTATTGAGAACATATCATGATGCACAAGGAAATGAGTTGGGTTGGGGGGATGTTAGTTGAATTAGTTTCCTAGTGTGTTGTTGTTCTATCTGTTGAATATTTTTTTCTTATTATTTGTTGTCATGAGATGCAAACTTTTTCTCTCCTACAGCTGCACTTGGCGCGGTTTTGCATGTTTTATCAACATCGCTTCTAGGAGTAACAGCCATCACCATATCAAATACAATTGCCGGGGAAAAAACCGTAAATAATTATAATAAAATGAGTTGCAAGTGCAAATCACACACATATTATATATATTCGAACTTTTGATGTCATTTAGGTGAATTCATAATGTGTTTTAGTCATTGTAACTGTTCTTATCATTCGCATATGTAGTCAATATAGCTTTTTTCATGAACAATGTTTTTGTTCGGCGCATGTTTGAAGTCAATAATTTGGACACTTTTTGCAAGTTCAAAGTCATAATTGAACTCACTTAGTTAGCCTTGGGGGGNTCCTTATCCTCGTTCTCCATAGCCTCTTCATAGCACTCAGGTTCTCCCCCGTCAGTAAGGAGCACATACTCATTAGTAGAATAACGAGTAGAGGGAATTCTTTCCCTTGTAGACCTCCTAAGAGCAACTGTAGGTGAATCGTTATCAACATGAGGTTGATTATGTACCTCATTTGATTCTTCTTCACTATTACCATCGGTAAAATCATGTGGGACATGATTGTTATCATCATTCTGATCTCCATTGGTAGCATTAGGCGTCTGAGCCACGGGAGTTGGATTCAAATCAACAAGATCATCATAATTTTGAGACTCTGACTTCTCCATCTTCTGAATATCTTCAATATTTTGATCCCCCATAAAGATAACATCACGGCTTCTGACAAGCTTCTTCTCAACAGGATCATAAAGTCTATAGCCAAATTCATCATGACCATAGCCAACAAAGATGCACTGCCTCGTCTTGACATCTAATTTGGATCTCTCATCCTTTGGCACATGTACAAAAGCTTTACACCCAAAAACACGCAAATGGTCATAACAAACATCTTTCCCGCACCATACTCGATCTAGAACATCTCCATGTAAAGCAGTAGCAGGTGATAAATTAATTACATGTGCAGCAGTATACAAAGCCTCACCCCAAAAAGATTTAGACAAACGTGCTTCTGAAAGTAAACATCTAACTCTCTCCACCAATGTTCTGTTCATCCTTTCTGCAAGGCCATTGAGCTGTGGAGTTTTGGGAGGCGTCTTCTGATGTCTGATGCCCTGTTGCCTGCAATACTCATCAAACGGGCCAAGGTATTCACCACCATTGTCTGTGCGAATACACTTCAACTTCTTTCCTGTTTCTCTCTCAACGGAAGCATGAAAATGTTTAAAGACCCCAAGAACTTGGTCTTTATACCTCAAGGCATACACCCATAGTTTCCTTGAGCAATCATCAATGAATGTCACAAAGTAACGTGCACCACCATGCGTCTTTGTCTTCATAGAACCACAAACATCTGAATGTACCAATTCAAGCAACTCTGATTTTTTGAAAGATGGACGACTCTTGAAGGACACCCTGTTCTGTTTCCCAGCCAAGCAATGACTGCACCTTTTTAAATTTGCATCCTTCACTCCTGACAGAACATTCTTCTTGGCTAAACAATCAAGACCCTTCTCGCTGATGTGACTGAGTCTTCTATGCCATAATTCTGAACAGCTATCACTCTCGACTGCATTGACAGAATCAATAGAGACTGAAGCATTGGTCCAGTATAAACCTGAACACTTCTTCCCACGAGCCACAATAAGAGAACCCTTAGTGAGTTTGCATTGCCCATCACCAAAGGTACTCACATAGCCTTCATCATCCAAGACACTAGTAGATATCAGATTCAAGCGAATATCTGGTGCATGTCTGACATTCTTCAACACTAACTTCATCCCAGTTTTGGTTTCCAAGACCACAACTCCAATGCCAATAACCTGTGAACGACCATCATTACCCATCTTCAATACACCATAATCACCTGGAGTATAAGATGTGAAGAAATCTTTCCTTGACGTCACATGGAAAGCGACACCACTATCGATAACCCAACTTGATTCATCAGAGGCAACATTAATCAAGTCGTTATCAGAAACAACTATCAGATCACCTAAAGTCGTGGCTGCAACATGACGATCATTTTCACCATCTTTCCCTTCTAGCTTGTTCTTGTCTTTGTTCTTCAGCTTGAAGCAATTTTTCATCAAATGCCCCTTTTTATGACAATAATGACACTCAACATTTTGGTATTTTGATCTGGACTTGCTCCTGCTATTGCCCTTTTTGAATTCTCCATGATCTCTGTTTTTACTTCTCCCCTTATTTTTAGTAACCAAGACATCTGATTTTGAAGTAGATGTCTCATGAGTTCTACGTCTCACTTCTTCATTCAGAACGGCAGCTTTGACATACTCCATAGTTACTGTACCACCGGGAGCAGAACTAATCAAAGACACACGAAGATTTTCCCAAGAATCAGGCAAAGTATTCAGCAACCAAAGTCCCAAAATCTCATCCTCAAACTTTACGCCCATGTCTGACAACTGATCAAAACACCCTTGAAATTCATTCAAGTGGTCAGAAATAGAAGAACCTTCCTTGAATCTCAGATTCATAGCTTGCCTAAGCAAGTATAGCTTGTTATTCCCTGTTTTTGATGCATACAAGGATTCAAGCTTGTCCCACAAAGATCTAGCATGAGATTCATTGTAGATGTGATTCAGAACATTATCATCTACCCACTGACGAATGAAACCACAAACCATTTCATGTTCAAAAGCCCACTCCTCATCACTTTTTGACTCTGGCTTCTGAGTAGCAAACACTAGTAGATGCAGCTTTTTCACAAAGAGTAAATCCTTCATTTTACCCTTCCACTTGTGATAATTTGTGCCATTCAAACTGATCATCCTGCTGTAATTTGGCTCCATCATTCAATCAAGACAAATAACAGATTACTCCAGCGCTCTGATACCACTTGTTGGGAAAGCAAGAACACAAACGAATGTGTAGTGCCCAAGATCAACACCTTTCCCTCTTGAATGAATCTATGAGGAGCAACAAACAAACACACCAAAGAACACCAAGCAACAAGATAATCCAAACACAAGAAATAAAATGATACGAGGCACGAGATTTTAACGTGGAAAACCCTTTCAATGTGAAAGAGTAAAAAACCACGAGACCCTTTGGTCTAACCAACTCCACTACCACCAAATTGAGAGTACAAATGCACAATATAACAGCACCACAATGATATCTAGCCCTTAACAACACTACGAAGGCGCTAGAATCGAAATAGATGAACAAAAGTGCAAGAAATCACCAAAAAACTGCAGCTGTTGCGAAGCTCATAACTTGATATTGAACCGTTGAAATTCGATCTCCACCGTTCAGATTGAAGCTCCACGAGTCCTTAGACTCCTCTTAAAATTTCAGCTCAATCGGACAAGATTTGAACCTCCTATCGACCAAAAAACCAGGTCTGCGTTTTTTAAGAAAAGGCAGCGGAAGTTCTCTGCTTGCGGCTGTTTTTTGGTGTGTTTGTTTGTTGCTCCTCATAGATTCATTCAAGAGGGAAAGGTGTTGATCTTGGGCACTACACATTCGTTTGTGTTCTTGCTTTCCCAACAATAAGTTTCCTGTGTATGGTTTTACCTTGGAATGTATTCCTTGCGAAAGAAAATGGATGTTTTTTACAACTTTTTGAAACTGTTCGCGTATTTAGATTTGTTAGCATTTCTATGATACACATATATAACGAAAATGAGTTTTAATAAATGTCTAAAATAGATTTGTTGAGCTTAAACTAGATTTTCTTTTGCTGGCATTTCGTTACTCACACGCCTTAAGGATTATATGGTGGTGCAGATTATCGATTATTTATTTATTTCTCTGCTTTTCTTAAATTTTCTTTTCTTTGTGCTAAGTTCTTTGAACCAAAGCCCTGGTCCATCCACCTTAAATACAGAGGGAATTTAAACCTAAACAAAAGTTTTTCAAAATAAATTTAGTATCTTATGAATTGTCGGGGGTGTCTCGGCAACAGCCTCTTTAATTCATAGTAGGGGTACGTTCTACACACACCTTACCAAAACCCCACTTTTGAGCGATTCTACGTGATTTATTGTTGTTCTATCTGTTGAATATTTCTTTCTTATTATTCGTTGTCATGAGATGCAAACTTTTTCTCTCCTACAGCTGCACTTGGCGCGGTTTTGCATGTTTTATCAACATCGCTTCTAGGAGTAACAGCCATCACCATATCAAATACAATTGCCGGGGAGGAAACTGTGCATAAACTTGCTTCTTTGTTGCTCATAGTTCTTGGTGGAAGTTACATAATCTTGTTTTTCAGCGGAAAGGGGGAGGTCACAGCCATTCACACAACCAACCCATGGAAAAAATGAACCACTTGTTCGGACCTGTGCTTTTGAGATGTTCTATTTAAAATAACTCATCAATGGCCCTGAACTTTCAAAAAGGTCTTGACCGACTTTTGACATGTGCCATGTGGCATATGAAGACCCTTCAAATCCTAACACAGTTTTGGGAAAAAAACTGTAAATTATAATAAAATGAGTTGCAAGTGCAAATCACACACATATTATATATATTCGAACTTTTGATGTCATTTAGGTTGAATTCATAATGTGTTTTAGTCATTGTAACTGTTCTTATCATTCGCATATGTAGTCAATATAGCTTTTTTCATGAACCATATTCTTGTTCGGCGCATGTTTGAAGTCAATAATTTGGGAGTAAATTCCATAAAAGCTCCCCAGTTATAGATCGTTTTACATATTTAGTCCCTACATATCAAATATTACTAATTTAGTCCCCAATTATTAAATTCATTTCCACGAATGGTCCTTTGTTAACATTTTCGTTAAGAACGTGGATAAAATTTCAAATTCACACTCCTTTCTCTCCTCAATTAAGCTTCTTCCTCTCTTGCACTCCTTTCCCAAACTCGCCGCTGAGTTTCTAGCTTTGAACCCTAAACAAAAATCATTACTCTTCTCTCAATTGTTTGTGTAAATGGAGGAACGATCATTTAAGTTTTGGGTTTAAGAGCTTCAAACTCAGCGACGAGTTTAAGAAAGAGTATAAAAAGATGGAGGAAGCTTAATTGAGGAGAGAGAGAAGTATGAATAAACAATTTTGTCCACGTTTTTAACGCAAATCTTAACAAAGGACCATTCGTGGAAATAAATATAATAATTGGGGACTAAATTAGTAATATTTGATATGTAAAGACTAAATATGTAAAACGACCTATAACTGGAGACCTTTTATGGAATTTATTCATAATTTGGACACTTTTTGCAAGTTCAAAGTCATAATTGAACTGACTTAGTTAGCCTTGGGGGGGGGGGGTAAATCTGACGTTTGAGAAGGTCGGGGTCAATCAAGGGGTTTTGGTTGAAAGTTCAGGGTCATTTTTGGGGTGTTTGGCCATTTTTTTGGCGTGGTTTATTTACGATACATGAAAAATTGAAAATTACATGAAATGATTGAAATTATCTTCAATTTAATTTTATACCTAATACAGTGTATAAAAAGTTCCAATCTTTTCTGTTACACACTTTGTATGATTTAGAATACTTTTTCTCAAAATGGACAAAGTCTTCAATTGACTTTATTTAGGTTTATTATGGATTTTTATATAAGCCAGATAACATTTGCTTACTATGGAGATACGCATTTTTTTATTTTTTTTTTCCATAAAAAAATTGTGGGTAAGTCCATGANAAAATTGAAAATTACATGAAATGATTGAAATTATCTTCAATTTAATTTTATACCTAATACAGTGTATAAAAAGTTCCAATCTTTTCTGTTACACACTTTGTATGATTTAGAATACTTTTTCTCAAAATGGACAAAGTCTTCAATTGACTTTATTTAGGTTTATTATGGATTTTTATATAAGCCAGATAACATTTGCTTACTATGGAGATACGCATTTTTTTATTTTTTTTTTCCATAAAAAAATTGTGGGTAAGTCCATGATAGAACTTTTCAAAATTATCTTTTGGTTTTGTTTTATAATGTTTGATTGAAACTCAAATCAATCTTCAGTTATTTACAAGTGCAAAGAGAAAAAAAATTAAAGAATCAAAAGCTTCTCAGTTTAAAAGAATTACCCGGAGTATTTATAAAACCCTTAGGCCCGTTTGTTACATGAAATTTAAATTATGAAATTAGAATTAGAATTAGAATTGATGAATTTAAAATACTTCTCCCCCACGTCTCTCTCTTTCTTCTCCCCTAAACCGTAGTGCTTCGGCACTCTCCTTCTTCCCCTTGCCGCCCGCGGCAGCCTCGCCAAGGTACACGTGAAAAGTAGCGTGTATCAATATGTTGCACAAATTAGGGGACGTTTGGGGTTTTGGTTGGAGCAATGCTAATTGCTAGGTTCACAAACAGAATGATCACAAACTTTACAAAATTGTTATTTATGATTTAAATTCTCATTTTAAAATCATTTTAGACTACTTTATTTTTTATTGAAGTTCACAAATAACAAATTTGTGAAGCCTGTTATCGTTTTGTCTATGAACCAAACATTTCTCTTTTGGTTGGAAACCCCAATTACCAAATACTAATTATGTTGTACCGATTATTTATTAAACCCAATTTAAGCGAAAACCTTAAAATAAGCTCTACCAACCATAACCTACCACTTTTAGCTTATTGAGAACATATCATGATGCACAAGGAAATGAGTTGGGTTGGGGGGATGTTAGTTGAATTAGTTTCCTAGTGTTGTTGTTCTATCTGTTGAATATTTCTTTCTTATTATTCGTTGTCATGAGATCCTACTGCTGCACTTGGCGCGGTTTTGCATGTTATATTGATACGAACTCGTATCGGATAGGGATCGGAAGACTTAGAGCGTCTTCAAGCTCCTAAGAATATGAGACGTTGAAGAAGAAGAATTGAGACGAAGAGAATCGGCGAACCGAGAGAGGAGAAGGGATTAGGGATTTGATTTGTTTATTGATTGATTAACTCTAAATGGGGTTACATCTCTTTATATAGGGAAGAAGAAAACCCTAACGCTAACCTGACGGTTCAATAAAAGCGACGAGGGAAAGAACCGTAAAGAAACCTCGAAGGAGCTTATAATTTTGCTCACCTAATAAAATCTACATTACAATAATAATAATAATAATAATAATAATATAATAATAATAATAATAATAATAATAATAACACTATTAAATATCCTACTCTACTATCCATAACATTTATCAACATCGCTTTTAGGAGTAACAGCCATCACCATATCAAATACAATTGCCGGGGAGGAAACTGTGCATAAACTTGCTTCTTTGTTGCTCATAGTTCTTGGTGGAAGTTACATAATCTTGTTTTTCAGCGGAAAGGGGGGAGGTCACAGCCATTCCAAATCACCCACAACAATTCCAAATACGTCTAATTCAAAATTTTAAACTTATAAGTTAAAATTTAAGAACTAAAGTTGACACTGGATAGAATACACCACGCATGTGATAAAAGAACAAATCAAATGTGGAATAAAATCAAGTATGTACATACTGTCTTTGACCCACCTTTTATTTTTTTGAAAATATAGACATCACTTTTCAACACTTTTATTGTTTTAAACAAAAACAATTAAAAACAAATACAAACTTTTCTTGGTTAATCCAAAATTAGAATAACACATCAAATATGGCTTAAATAAGTACATACAAAGTACACTTATCAAATTCCACATACTAATGACTTGTTGTTTTAGGTTGGAAAAATTAACTTTCAACTTTTTCAAACTTCTTTCTATTCTTTCCAACTCTCCCAGTTCCTTCCAATTCCCCCAGTTCCTTCCAACGACTTAAAAAAATATTTATATATGATGAATATAAAATAACATAGTGTATCCAAATTTATAACATATCACCTCAGCCACAGACAAGAATGAAATCTATTTTAGCCAAAATTAGAATTTTTTTATAAGAAATCTATTTTAGCCAAAATCAGCATTTTCAAACTTCTTCCAATTTTTTCCAACTCCTTTTTTTTTCAACTTTCAATTTCTTTCAACATTCAAATCTGAAATTTCAATCCAAAAGAATATGGCCTAAGAGCTTGTTATTAGAATTTGATCTCTTAACTTTCAGTTTTTTCCAGTGCCTTCATGTTTTTTAGTTTCTTCAAGTTCCTTTCCATTTTTTCCAAAATTTCCTAGTTTCTTTCAGTTTCCTCTAATTTTTTTCAGTTTCTTCCCATTTTTCCAACTATTCTCAATTTCCTCAATTTTTTTACTCCTAAATAGTGACTTTAAATATAATCTGCTTTTCATGTATTATTGTTATTATAACTCTAGTTTATAAATTATTTTAATTTTTTTTATTTTTTTTCTCATTACACTATTTTGTGATTCACACTCATTATTATTTTCTCTTCTATTTTTAATATAAATAATACGTAATACAATTTCCTTAGGAAAATTGTTCTTTTTTAATTAAATGACACTAAACTATGTTCTAAAAATTATGGATGTTTTATTAACCTAAACTGACCTAGAAAATTATCAATATTTTAAATTAAAAAATAATAGTTACACTATTCTATCTATCTCTAATTAAATGACATTTATATTATGAACGTGATCAAATTTTATTCACTTTTTACCTATTATTATTTCTAAGAATTATTATTATTATTATTATTATAACAATAACAACTATACCAATTATAATAAGAATACTATGTAAAATATAAATAAATATTTGAATCTTTTGTGAGGATTCTAATATTTTGTTTTATCTTTTAAAACAAAAGGATATCTGACGTGAGACTTCAAAGGATTTTTCAGTGAAAAATATTCTTAGTAAACGTACCAGAACAAAAATATGTATAGTTGTTCAATGAAATAATATATTATTCACATGGTCAAATTTTTTTTGACCCCAAAATAGGTCCCCATCCAATTACTTAACAAATACTTCCACATAAAATAGTTATGTCACCACTAAATTTGAAGATCTTTTTTATATAATTTTGTAATATAAAACTTTTATTTTTTAAATCAACACCATTTTCATATAAAATGATTTGAGAATAATTTTTATCAAACATCGTAACAGAAACAAGTAATATAAATTGGAGCGAAGGAAGTATTAATTAGTTCAAGTTTATTAGTTAAGAAATTTTAAAACACCCTTATATTGGTTTGTAGATTTAAACTATATACTTAAAATTAATTTTCACAACACAATGTTATTTAAATGCAGAGTATTTACACTTTGTATTTTCTTAAAATTAATTATTAAGAAAATGAAATATTTTCAATACTTCTAAGAATTATTTTATAATATGAGTTTAAATTATTCATTTAAAAATGAGTGTACTTAGTTGGTAAATTAGTGTATACACTATATACGCTATCATTTTTGTAATAAGAAAAATATGAAATAAATCGAATCTGATATGACACTAATGTGTAAAAAAAAACTTGCCAAAAAAGTGTGTGTGTGTATAGACACGCACACCCTCTACTTTTATTGGGACATTTTCACATTTGATAACACACCCGATATGTGCTAATTCCACATCAAGTTTTTTACATTGAAGTGTAGAAAGAAAAGCATGGCAATGAGAATATTAAAAGTTCCAAAAATTTTAGAGTATTAGGGAAAGAGAAAAATTTGATAAATAAAGAGATAAAAGAATACACAGAATCCTTCAAAAAAAGAAATAAAGAATATTAATTTCATTCACGCACCCCGTACTTGATAAATGTCAATAGGGCACAAAGCTCCAAACTTTAAAGGACCAGTCCTGATCAAAGGACGGGTCGGTGTACAGAGCGTCCTCTCATAGAAAGGGCTCGGGGGGGGGGGGGGGGGGGG